TCAGGTGTCAGTTCAGGTGTCAGTTCAGGTGTGTCTGTGTGAGCTCCAGGTGTGAGTTCAGGTGTCAGCTCCAGGTGTGAGTTCAGGTGTGAGTTCAGGTGTGTCTGTGTGAGTTCAAGTGTCAGTTCAGGTGTGTCTGGGTGAGCTCCAGGTGTGTTTAGGTGTGTCCCAGGTGTGTTTCACCCCTCCCCTGTATATTTCACCCCTCCCCAGGTGTGTCTGTGTGTCCCCAGGTGTATTTCCCCCCTCCCCAGGTGCATTTCACCTGTCCCAGGTGTATTTCACCTGTCCCAGGTGCATTTCACCCCTCCCCAGGTGCATTTCACCCCTCCCCAGGTGTATTTCACCTGTCCCAGGTGTATTTCACCCCTCCCCAGGTGTATTTCACCTGTCCCAGGTGCATTTCACCTGTCCCAGGTGTATTTCACCTGTCCCAGGTGTATTTCACCTGTTTCTCTGTCCCCAGGACTCCCTCGGGGGTCGCTTTGACGCCACCCAGGCGTTCGTGGGTGAATTGGCCGAGTTCCACCTGTGGAGCCGCGCCCTGGCCCCGCCCGAGGTGGCGGCGCTGGCCAGGTGTGCGTCACCTGCCCGCGGGGACCTGCTGGCCTGGGCCAGGGCGGGGCTGGAGCTGCACGGGGGCGTCACCGCCCGGCCCTTCCGGCCCTGCAGCTGAGACACACCTGGGGACACCTGGACACAGCTGGGAACACCTGGAAACTCACCTGGATACACCTGAGACACACCTGGGGACACCTGGACACACCTGGACACACCTGGAAACTCACCTGGATACACCTGAGACACACCCGGATACACCTGGACACAGCTGGGAACACCTGGACACAGCTGGGACACACCTGGATACACCTGAGATACACCTGAGATACACCTGGATACACCTGGACACACCTGGATACACCTGGACACAGCTGGGAACTCACCTGGATACACCTGAGAACAACTGGACACACCTGGGAACACCTGAGATACACCTGGATATACCTGGATACACCTGGACACAGCTGGATACACCTGGATACACCTGGGGACACCTGGACACACCTGGACACAGCTGGAACTCACCTGAGACCCCCCCAAATTCCCAAAATTCCCCCAAAATTTGTCCAAAACTGCCCAAAAAATTCCCCCAAAAATCCCAAAAGTTCCCCACAAAATTCCCAAAAATTCCTGAAAATTCCCCAAAAAATCCCCAAAATTCCACAAAATTTACCCAAAAAATTCCCAAAAAATCCCCCAAAATTCCCAAAAATTCCCCAAAAATTCCCAAAAAATCCCCCCAAAATTCCCAAAAATTCCACAAAAATTCCCAAAAATTCCCCAAAAATTCCCAAAAAATCCCCCAAAAATTCCCAAAAATTCCAAAAAAATCCCCAAAATGCCACAAAATTTACCCAAAAAATCCCCAAAAATTCACAAAAAATACCCCAAAAATTCCCAAAAATTCCACAAAAAATCCCCAAAATTCCACAAAATTTACCCAAAAAATTCCCAAAAAATTCCCAAAAATTCCCCCAAAAATTCACAAAAAAATCCCCAAAATTCCACAAAATTTACCCAAAAAAATTCCCAAAAAATTCCCGAAAAATCCCCCCAAAATTCCCAAAAATTCCACAAAAATTCCCAAAAAGTCCCCCCCCAAAATCCCACAAAATTTACCCCAAAAATTCCCAAAAAATCCCCAAAAAATCCCCCAGAAATTCCCAAAAATTCCCAAAAATTCCCCAAAAAATTCCCCAAAAAATTCCCCAAAATTCCCCAAAATCGCCTCCTCTCCCCCCTCCCCCCCACGATGTCCCGACCCTTCCCGAATTCCAAAAAAAACACGAAAATTCCCGAATTCCTCTGGAATTTCTCCGGTTTTTATTTGGGGACCATAAATAAAGGGGGGGGAGGGGAGGGGGGAGGGGCCGGGAGCCCCCGGGAGCCCCAAAATGGGAGGGGAAATTTGGGAATTTTGGGAATTCCAGGGGGAAATCTGGGAATTTTTGGGATTCCCAGAGGGGAAATTTGGGAATTCTGAGACTCCCAGGGGGGAATTTTGGGGCTCCCAAAGGGAATTTTGGGGATTCCCAAGGGGAAATTTGGGAATTTCTGGGGCTCCCAAAGGGAATTTTGGGAATTTTTGGGATTCCCAGGGGGATTTTTGGGAATTTTGGGGAATCCGGCGCCGATTCCGGAGGCTCCCGCTGCTCCCTCGTCCTCTCCCAGTCCCGATGAGGGAGGGGGAATTTTTTTGGGGGGGGAATTCCCCAAATTTTGGGAATTCTGGGAGTTTTTGGGTGGGAATTCCGGGGGTCCCGCCCCCTTTTCCGAGGTTTTTTTTAGGGATTTTCCGGCTTTTTCTTGACGGAAATTCGCTTTTTCCGCGCCGCCAGCATCTCGTAGAACGGATCCACGCTCACGGCAGCCCTGCGGAATTCCGGGAATTTTCAGGGAATTCTGGGAATTTTTTTGGGAATTTGGGGAGGGGAGAAACGTTGGGAATTTTCTGGGATTTTTTGGGATTTATTTCAGGGAGTTTTGGGGGTTTTTGAGGAGTTTTGGTTGATTTTTTGGGGGAATTTTGGGAGATTTTTGAGGGAATTTTTGGGGGAATTCCAGGAATTTTGGGAATTTTTGGGAATTTTTGGGAGGGGAGAATTTTTTGGGATTTTTGGGGAATTTTTTGGGATTTTTTTAGAAGAGGTTTGGGGTTTTTTGGGAGGTTTTGTTGGATTTTTTTGGGAATTTTTTTGGGAATTTTGGGAATTTTTTGGGAATTTTTGGAGGGAGAAAACGTTGGGGAAATTTTTTGGGATTTTTTTAAGGGAGTTCTGGGGGATTTTTTTGGGAATTTAGGGGGGAATTTTGGGAATTTTGGGGGGGATATTTTAGGGAATAATTCCAGGAATTTTCCCAGGAATTCCAGGACCAATTCAATCCTAAAAATTCCCATTTTTTACCCCCCAAAAATCCCATTTTTAACCCTTAAAAAATCCCATTTTTACCCCCCAAAAATCCCATTTTTAACCCTTAAAATCCCATTTTTAACCCTTAAAAATCCCATTTTTAACCCTTAAAACCCAGGTTTTTAACCCTTAAAAATCCCATTTTTAACCCTTAAAAATCCCATTTTTAACCCTTAAAATCCCATTTTACCCCCCAAAAATCCCATTTTTAACCCCAAAAATCCCATTTTTAACCCTTAAAATCCCATTTTTAACCCTTAAAAAATCCCATTTTACCCCCCAAAAATTCCCCCCAAAAAAAAAATTTTCCCGTGGATTTTTCCGGGATTCCCCTGGAATTTTCCCCGCCTCTCACTGGATGGATTTGAACCCAAAAAATCCCCAAAAACTCCCATTTTTTAACCCCTCAAAAATCCCATTTTTAACCCTTAAAATCCCATTTTTAACCCTTAAAAATCCCATTTTTAACCCTTAAAAAATCCCATTTTTAACCCTTAAAAATCCCATTTTTAACCCTTAAAAAATCCCATTTTTAACCCTTAAAAAATCCCATTTTTATCCCCCAAAAATCCCTTTTAACCCTTAAAATCCCATTTTTTAACCCTTAAAAATCCCATTTTTAACCCTTAAAATCCCATTTTTAACCCCCAAAAAAATCCCATTTTTTTAAGCCTTTAAACCCCATTTTTTAACCCTTAAAATCTCATTTTTAACCCTTAAAATCCCATTTTTTAACCCTTAAAAAATCCCATTTTACCCCCCAAAAATCCCATTTTTAACCCTTAAAAATCCCATTTTTAACCCTTAAAACCCAGGTTTTTAACCCTTAAAAATCCCATTTTTAACCCTTAAAAATCCCATTTTTAACCCTTAAAATCCCATTTTTAACCCTTAAAAAATCCCATTTTTAACCCTTAAAAATCCCATTTTTAACCCTTAAAACCCAGGTTTTTAACCCTTAAAAATCCCATTTTTAACCCTTAAAAATCCCATTTTTAACCCTTAAAATCCCATTTTTAACCCTTAAAAAATCCCATTTTTAACCCTTAAAAATCCCATTTTTAACCCTTAAAAATCCCATTTTTAACCCTTAAAATCTCATTTTTAACCCTTAAAAAATCCCATTTTTAACCCTTAAAAATCCCATTTTTAACCCTTAAAAAATCCCATTTTTAACCCTTAAAATCCCATTTTTAACCCTTAAAAATCCCATTTTTAACCCTTAAAAAATCCCATTTTTAACCCTTAAAAAAATCCCATTTTTAACCCTTAAAAATCCCATTTTTAACCCTTAAAAAATCCCATTTTACCCCCCAAAAATCCCATTTTTAACCCTTTAAACCCCGTTTCACCCCACCCAATAATTCCCCAAAAAAAAAAATTTTCCCGTGGATTTTTCCGGGATTCCCCTGGAATTTTCCCCGCCTCTCACTGGATGGATTTGAACCCAAAAAATCCCCAAAAACTCCCATTTTTTAACCCCTCAAAAATCCCATTTTTAACCTTTAAAATCCCATTTTTAACCCTTAAAATCCCATTTTTAACCTTTAAAATCCCACTTTTAACCCTTAAAAATCCCATTTTTAACCCTTAAAAAATCCCATTTTTAACCCTTAAAAAATCCCATTTTTACCCCCAATAATTCCCCCAAAAAAAAAATTTTCCCGTGGATTTTCCCGGGATTGCCCTGGAATTTTCCCCGCCTCTCACTGGATGGATTTGAACCCAAAAAATCCCCAAAAACTCCCATTTTTTAACCCCTCAAAAATCCCATTTTTAACCTTTAAAATCCCATTTTTAACCCTTAAAATCCCATTTTTAACCTTTAAAATCCCACTTTTAACCCTTAAAAATCCCATTTTTAACCCTTAAAAAATCCCATTTTTAACCCTTAAAAAATCCCATTTTTAACCCTTAAAAATCCCATTTTTAACCCTTAAAAAACCCATTTTTAACCCTTAAAATCCCATTTTTAACCCTTAAAAAATCCCATTTTTAACCCTTAAAAAATCCCATTTTTAACCCTTAAAAAATCCCATTTTACCCCCCAAAAATCCCATTTTTAACCCTTTAAACCCCGTTTCACCCCACCCAATAATTCCCCCCAAAAAAAAAATTTTCCCGTGGATTTTCCCGGGATTCCCCTGGAATTTTCCCCGCCTCTCACTGGATGGATTTGATCCACTCGTCCTTCTGCTCGCGGCTGGGGGCGGAGATGCGATAGACGACGTGGTTCCCCTCCACCACGCGCCCGTCCGCCTCCGTCTTGCACGCCTTGATCAGCTGGCCCTTGTTGTTGGGGATGTAGAGCTCGAAGCAGTGCTGGGAAACACGGGAAAAAGTCATGGAATTTTAGGGGAAAAAAAAATGGGAAAAAAATCCGGGGGAAATGGGGTTTTTTGGGGGTTTTTTTGGGGTTTTTTTGGGGTTTTTGGGGGGTTTTTTTGGGGTTTTTTGGGGGTTTTTTTGGGTTTTTTT